ATATGTCTGACATGGCTCATGTAGAACTTCTTTGTGTCAGACACATATGACTGACAGTGCGATTAACCAGTAAGTACCCAATGGAGATCCAAGCAGTAATAAAATTTATTTAATATATATTGTAAATAAAATTTTTAAATTTAGGTATGAATTTGTAAAGCATATATTTTTTTAATTTTTTATGATTTTTTAATTGTATAATTTATTATAAAATAAAATTTAATCAATAAAAGTGTACGAATTTACATCGATCGATACTAAGCTTCTGACATCACATATAGTAGCACATGTTTATAATGAAACGTGCTATTGCAACATTTAACCAAGCGCCACATTAAACAGCACATCGTACGTTATTGCTACAATAATTCAGTTTATATTATAATCGTATAGAAATTACTTACCAGTGTTACGCGTGCGTTATCCAAGTCAACTCGAAATCGTATCACAATAATTTTGCGCAAAATTCAAGGTCTATGGAACGGCGAGAACCGCACAATATTAAAAATATTAAATGACTATTAAAAATTTGCGAGAAACGAGCACGTTCGATCCGCTCTCAACACTCGTGAAATGCGCGCCCAATTGATTCCGATTGAAGAAAATTCGCTAAAAATCGTTGTTCCCTTTCCGCAGCCGGGCGACCTTACGTCTAAAGTAATACTGAGAACAACCCGATGTGCTTTGGCTGCGAGCAGGGCACGCTTTGGAATCAGTTATGTAACGAAATCTCAAGAATGATTTTATTGGTCACAATTGAATCAGAGTGAGAATGTTTGTCATAAATTGATCACGATTGATAACTGTTTATGACATATCGATGCTGGCTGCATCGATTTGTTTACGTTTCAAACAGTAATACGATTTTGAATTGCAAATTTTTTAGCGAGGAAATGAATCGGTTTAGCGCTGGACTTTGAACAGTTTTATTGACGAGAGATGCCACAGGTTATAATGATAAAAGTTACATATTTTGCAGGCACATTTTTTGGAGGTGTGTGTTCTTATAAGATTCTAATAGGATACCATATAACTAAGGTGACCATATTTTTTAAGTAACTAGTGGGGCGCATGGCATTGCTGGAACTTACTGTATTTTTTTTAAAAAGATTAACATTTTTGAAAAAAATTACCCATAGGAATGTAAACAAAATTTATACTGATTCAAAATCTCTATAAAATATTTGATAATTTGATGTGCATATGTCTAATGATCATTTTTGACCGCCAGATGGCATTTTTTTTACTTTTTTTACTAGATCTCCGAAACCGCTAGATCTGCCTTCATGAAAATTTGATTAGTTCTTCATCTTGTAAAATAGTTTCATCTTCATACAAGTAAAATGTTTTTTGAATTATTCAAATCGGACGCTCCGTTCTCCTAAAAACTTAGTTACCGTTTTTGGCACTTTTTGCCCCATATCTTCGGAACGGCTAGACCTGCCTTCGCCAAAAACTAATCAGCACGTCTCCTTATCAATACGAATCGAATGTTTTTTTAATTATTCAAATCGCTTCATTCGTGTTCCCGAAATCGTCGACAAAAATTTGTATCCGAACACACATACACACACGCACACACATACACACACACATACATCAATTTTTTCTAAGGTATGCCAAAATATTCAGAAACCTCTGAAACGTAAAGATATATAAAAAATTTCATTTTCGATTTTTTTACGATTACTATAACTTACCCTACGGGAAGTTAAAAACTGCGACGTTAATTTTTAGTAAATCCGTGGGGGAGAGTTGTATGGTGAAAAATTTATTATTATTTAAAATAACAGAACGATTTAGGGATCCAATAAAATTCCATCTTTTTTTTCATCTTGACAATTACTGACTGAGATCTTCAACTTTCAAACTTTTTATAAAATTTTGTTTAATTTTTTTCAGAATTATTTAAAAATAATTAACAGATATTCCAGGTGATCAAAAAATTCATTTTCATAGTTAGTGTCAATTTTCGTAAAATTGAAAATAAAAGTTCAAAATTATTAATGTGAGAAGCTATTTTTAACCCGTCTTAGGAGTTGTGTATACGGCAATTTTCTCATTCATAACATATTATAGTTTCATATAAACATACTATTTGTACGTGCCATTTTCAGATATATGAATTTTGATATTATTATCAAGTAAGAGCAAAGATTCAACATTTATCCTATACTTTTCGAAAACCCGGGACAACCCGGGACAAAAGAATAAATCCGGGACAAATATTGTTATTACAAAAACCCCGACCACAAGGTGAAAATCCGGAACTCTCCCGGCCAAACCGGGACGTATGGTCACCTTAATATAACCAAAATGTTTATGAATATTAAGTTAAATAAGGAGAGCTAGGCACTGGTTGTAATAGTTTTATTTTAATTAATATATCTTGAGATCCACTGGTTATATATGTACGAATAGTTGCTGTAACTATTCAAGTAAAAATAATTCCGCAAATGTTATACATTACTTACAATTAATCTAAAAAAGTTCAATGTTACAACATACCCCATGTTTGGGGCTAGTTGTAACGTCTACAATAATACCTTTGATATTTTATATTTTTTAATTATTTTTAACTCGACATGTTTCTAAATAATTATTTTCAAAATTCACGTAAACTATGATTTATACAAATAAAATATATCATGTTTCCAATAATATAAATATTTATCATAAATTAACTTCTATATATAGTTCTTGTATGCAGGATCCGGGGTACTCAGCGCCCGCATGCCAATTTTTTTCGAAAATTTAAATTTTCATTTGATTCTAACGCATGTGTTATATCAATATTTGGGTTCTGAAACAATTCACTTATTTATTTTGGGGATTTTATGCGATTTATTCTATTGAACAAACCATAGAGAGAAAAAAAAATTCTAGCCTCTCATTATTAAACATAATACTGGTACTTCATGTTAAATTATTTTAATTTAATTTTTCATTATTTAAAATATCTAAAATTGCATCGTAAACTTATCCTGATATCGTAAGAACCGAATTGTATGTATTCATCTATACTTTCCCATCGTGTATCAGACTGTTAATTTAAAGTTTAAAAAATATTGTCCAAGATTAGTAAAAGATGCAAAGAAGTTATATATTTTTTTAATGATATTGAAAAAAACTATATTATAAATTCCATATCCGAATCTCGTTTTAGCGTCCCCTAAGGCGTGCGCCCGCATTTTTTGCATGCATCACATTCAAGGTAGGCCGATTGTATTTTACAACTAGCCCCAAGGATTTGTTTCAACTAACCCGAGGTATGACTCTTTCACATTATTCAAATTAACTATTTAAGCTGTTTAGCAATCACATTAATTGTTATACATTATGAAATATTAATAAATGTGGAACAAAAATATATATAATATTTAAAATTAGTCGATAATCTCAAACTCAAGCCGAAGTTTTATGATAGAATTTTATATCACCCAGTCAAAATGACGCACCTGCACAATTCTGTTTACTGCGTCGGCCTGTGGGAAAGTAGCTATGACAATAATACGCAGGGCGGTTTACATGTTCAAATGAGACTAAAAAAAGATTTTAATTGTTTTAAGATCATATTCGAGAACGCCTGTTACTGGTTACCGTTTTTTACTATAGCCCCTAACTCCCCTACTATGTCATGTGTGTAAATAATTTTTCGATAAATGTTGTTTTAATGTATTATTAAAAATCATATTCATCACATTCTTATTAGAATGTTGCTTAATATGAATGATTCAACTAAGTTTAATAGTAAGTTTCTTATTAGAACTCACGATAGAAAATCTTTGGCTAGGTAAAAATATTTTCAAAATAGTGGTGTATTGCATTGTGTAAATGCTAACAAAACTAGCTGTAAGTGGAATTCTGTCTTAAGGCAATTAGGGCATCGTGCCTTAAGGCAAATTGCTGGAACTTCCCGTACCAAATATTATTATTTTTTTTTAAAACGATTAACATTTTTGAAAAAAAATTACTTTGAAAAAATAAGATTTTTGAGAAACTATAAATTGGACAAAAAATTAGTTTTTTTTGAAAAAAAAAAATTTTTTTTTAAAAATTTTTTTTAAAAAAAAATTTTTTTTTTTTGAAAAATTTTTTTTAACTTCCCGTAGGGCAAGTTATAGTAATCGCAAAAAAATCGAAAATGAAAATTTTTATATATCTTTACGTTTCAGAGGTTTCTGAACATTTTGGCATACCTTAGAAAAAATGGATGTATGTGTGTGTGTGTGTGTGTGTGTGTATGTGTGTGTGTATGTATGTATGTGTGTGTATGTATGTGCGGATACAAATTTTCGTCGACGATTTCGGGAACACGGATCAACCGATTTGAATAATTCAAAAAACATTCGATCCGTATTGATAAGGAGACGTGCTGATTAGTTTTTGGCAAAGGCAGGTCAAGCCGTTCCGAAGATACGGGGCAAAAAGTTCCGAAAACGGTAACTCAGTTTTTAAGAGAACGGAGCGTCCGATTTTAATAATTCAAAAACATTTCACTTGTATTGACAAGATGAAGAATCTATAAAATTTTCATAAAGGTAGGTCTAGCGGTTTCGGAGATATAGAGGAAAAAGTAAAAAATGAGCCATTTGGCGGTCAAAAATGATCATTAGACATATGCACATCAAATTATCAGACATTTTATATAGATTTTAACAATAAGTATACATTTTGTTAACATTCCTATCGGTTCCGTACCAATGCTTATGCGTTAGACAGCGACGCGGCGCTTACGCGCTTTATATTTTGTCCCTATGTAGTTAAAGCAGTACGATTGCTTTGAAAAAAAAGTTCAGATCTTCCACAATATGTCAAAATAAAGAAAAAACTAGCTGTAAGTGGAATTCTGTCTTAAGGCAATTAAGGCATCGTGCCTTAAGGCAAATTGCTGGAACTTCCCGTACCAAAAATTATTTTTTTAAAAACGATTAGCATTTTTGAAAAAATAAGATTTTTGACAAACAATTAGACAAAAAATTACTTTTTTTTTGAAAAAAAAATTTTTTTTAATTTTTTTTTTTTATTTTTTTTTTTTGAAAAAAAAATGTTTTCTTTATTTTGACATATTTTGAAAGATCTAAACTTTTTTTCAAAGCAATCGTACTGCTTTAACTGCATAAAGACGAAATATCAAACCGCGTAAGCTCCGCGTCGACGTCTAACGCGTAAACATTGGTACGGAACCCATAGGAATGTAAACCAAAATTATACTTATTGTTAAAATCTCTATAAAATATTTGATAATTTGATGTGCATATGTCTAATGATCATTTTTGACCGCCAAATGGCATTTTTTTTACTTTTTTCATTAGATCTCCGAAACCGCTAGACCTGCCTTTATAAAAATTTGATCGGTATTTCACCTTGTCAATACATAAAACGTTTTTTGAATTATTAAAATCGGACGCTCCGTTCTCTTAAAAACTGATTACCGTTTTCGGCACTGTTTTGCCCCGTATCTTCGGAACGGCTAGACCTGACTTCGCCAAAACTAATCAGCACGTCTCCTTATCATACGAATCGAATGTTTTTTGAATTATCAAATCGGTTGATCGGTGTTCCCGAAATCGTCGACGAATTTGTATCCGCACATACATACACACACGCACACACACAAACACACACCACACCACACATACATCCATTTTTTCTAAGGTATGCCAAATATTCAGAAACCTTTGAAACGTCGAGAAATGCAAAAATTTTCATTTTCGATTTTTTTGCGATTACTATAACTTACCCTACGGGAAGTTAAAAAATTTTTTTCAAAAAAAAAAAAAAATTTAAAAAAAAAATTTTTTTTTTTCAAAAAAAAACTAA